AAACTGAAAAACCATAGAAGGAAGCAGGTGGAGAAATCAACAACAAAATCTAAACAATGAACCATGAGAAAGCCTGGGAGAAACTGAAGATTGGTGAGCTGTCTTTTGGAGACTGAAGACTTGTGTTTGGGATAGAGGCATGGGGAGTAAGAGCATAGGGAGGGGCTGTAGTTTGCATAGATGCAAACAACAGGGTGGGTAGGGGAAAATGTTTAAACTTCTTTCCTGCTTCATTGCACAAATCTGAGGCCCTCAGATTACACATGTTAGTATCTCTGGGATAATACCAGATTAGCAGAAAAGTACCATTGATTGAGATACTCTGGAGTCTGTAAATAGCCATCTGAAACCGCCTCAGTGGGTGAGGATGGGTCTGTCAAAAAATTATGATTTTAATCTAATGTAAAGAATGGAATAGAAATAGAATGACCAGTGAACCACAGATAGTAAAGGTAGGTAGTCTTTCATGAAATTATATATACACAAATATATTCTAAAAATACACTAGGTAGAGATGTAAAATGTATTACTTACTATGAATAAAGATTTTTAAAAAGTGATCAAAAACTCCTGCAATGACAAGCAAAGACAGACAACCACAAACCCACAGGACCTCCTCAAATTCCTCCTGTTCCTTAGCGTCTTCAGTACAAAAATGAAAAATTTTGCCCTATCTGGTTTGGCTTAGTGGATAAAATGCCAGCCTGTGGACTGAAGGGCCCTGGGTTTGATTCTGGTCAAGGGTACATGCCTAGGTTGTGGGCTTGGTTCCCAGTGTGGGGAGTGCAGGAGGTAGCCAATCCATGATTCTCGCTCATCATTGATGTTTCTATCTCTTTTTTCCTCTCTGAAATCAATAAAAACAAACAAACAAACAAAAAATGGACTTATGTGCACACATATGAGCCTAACCAGTGGTCAAGGACAATAGGGGGGTGGGGGCATAAATGGGGGGAGTGAGGGATTGGAATGGGGGGTTGAGGACAAATATGTGATACCTTAATCAATAAAGAAATTAATTAAAAAATGAAACCTTAAAAACAGATGTATTCCAAAGTCTCAGCCAGACTGGTGAAGAGAAGCTATAGAAAGTGGGGGAGGACTTCTGTGATGCTCCCCCAGACCTGGGCACAGCAGTGCTCCCTGCAGCATCTGTCCTGGTACTGCAGCAATCTCTTCAAGGAATGTGAAGCCCTCTCCTGAGTGAGGACTGAAGGATCTACTCACTCCAGAACAGAAGGCACTACATAATCCAACTCTGTCAGTCCTGGGGAATCCCAGGAGGACTCTCAGACTGAATGAACACCCATGTCCTCCACACTTTTTCAGGGAAATGGTGGAGTCACAGCCTTGGTCACAGACTCAGGTTAACAGAAAGCAGGGGCTTAGGTCTTGCAAGATAAAGATGAGGACTAGAGTGGAGAGTATTTCAGCGCCCTCGAAACCTATCTCCATCTTTACTGTCAGCCCTTTGGTGGAGGCAGAAATGCTGACCAGATATGACCTTCACTGACTTCCACCTCAAAAGTCTGAGAGGTTAGCCCCCATCTGGGAGGCCAGCTTCACGTCCATAGAGGGAAGGAGCCCAGTGCTACAGAGAATGCAGGTATGACCCTGAGGGAGGACTGAGGCCCCTGCTGTCAGCACTGAGAGTCTGAAGTGAGGTGTCTGAGAGATATTTACTGCACCCCTCACCCACCTCCTCAGAGAATGGGGAGTCAAGGATAAGTTCTGAGGGAAGCAATCTCAGGTCAGCACTGGCAGAGCCCAGACTCTGCTTGGAATCAGGGTGAGGAACAGAGGGAGGGCTTCATAGAATCTATTTCAGGCCCTGATGGGAGCCCTGGGAATTCCCAGGCTTAATGGCCTGATGTGATGTTTTCATACTGAACAGTGAAGGCGTTGGTCTGAGTGCCTTGGATCAACAGAAAGAGGTTCTAAAACCTACTAGGGTTCAATGTAAAGACCATGATGGAATACAAAGGGACAGTTATGTCTAGGAGGCCAAGAAGGCGGGATGGCCATACATGGGTTTCCTGACTTCTGTATCTGGGTATGTGAGACTCTGGTGATTTGGTATAAGGAGCAGGGTTTCAGGCAGCAGAGGGAAGGCCCATGAACTTCCAGAGTTAACGTGAGGATCCTAAGGAAAGGTAAGGGAACCCAGGACTTGCAAAAAGGTTACCCCACCAAAGTGCACCGCTGCCATCAGCCAAGGAAGCCCCATAATCGATGACCAGGTGCAGCATCTCCTGGCTTCGGTATCTGGGTCTGAGAGAGACTGGTGAAAAGAATAAGGTCTCAAGTAAGGTAAGAAGCATGGTGTGGAATCAAGTTTATGATCTTGAGGAAGAATGAGGATCTTGCACCCCAAAACAAAGCCAATTCTGGCAGGCCTCAAGGGAGGATGAATACATATGACATTTTCTGACTTCTGCATCCAGGCATGGGAGACTCTGTGAGTTTGGTATAAGAAGTAGGAACTGAGGCAGCAGAAGAGAATATCAGGTCATGCTAGGATCAAGAATAGGACCCTGAGGAAGGCTAAAAGGATGCTGGACCCCAGAACAGTCAGTTTTGGGAGGTTCCAAGGATAGGATAACCACAGGCAGTGTATCCTGACTTTCACATCTGGGTTTGAAAGAGTCTTGGAGTTTGGTATAAGGATCTCAGGCAGCAAAGGGGAGGATCCCAACTTCTGTCCGAATCAAGAGGAGGATGCTGAGGCAAGACTGAGGGTACTCTGAACCCCAGAATGGAAGTGACCTAACAGAAGCCCACCCCTACTGTCAGCCCTGAGAGACCCCTTGGAGCTATTAATCACATATGGTCTTTCCTGACTTTTGTATCCAGGTCTAAGAGAGATTGGGAACTTCATGTAAGGATCAGGGCCTCAAATCACCACATGTGGGGCAGGCCCAGGTCCTCCAGAGAGTCTAGGTGAGGACCTGAAGGAGGACTGAGGACCTAAGATACCAAATCAGAGATGGATTCTATAACTCTGCTTTCAGTCTCTGAAGGTCCAAGAACAGGATAATCAGATGATTCCTGACTTATGCCTTGGGGGTCTTCAGGATGTAAAGGCCTTGGGATGAGGAGTGTGACAGCAAATCAGAAGTTGGTGGGGTCCAAGTACCCTGATGGAGAACTTAGCAGACCCCCACCCGAGACATGGGGAGCCCACCCAAATTGGCCTGCTCCTGTCATCGTTGAAGTCCCCAGGCATGGGTGGCTGCAGGTGATGCACCCTCAACTCTGCCTTGGTCTCTCAGGGATGTAAGGCCTTGTTCTGAGGGGCAATTTCAGGTCAGCAGAAGCAGCCACATCTGGTCAGCAGAGAAAGGAGTCCCAGGATTTGCCAGGTCTCAAGAAAGGAAGGGTGGAGAGTATGAAGGTTCTACCAGCCCAAAAGGTAAGGGACCTTACAGAGTCCAGCTTGCCTTGTTCTCAGGCCTGGGAGGATCCAGGCAGGGATGAATAGGTGTAGCATGCTCCCATGACTACCATGTGGCTGGGGATGGAGGATCTCAGGGATCTGAGGACCTTGGGCTGAGGGGAAAGGTGATGTCAGCAGGAGGAAGTGTCCCAGGATCAGCCAGACGTCAAGATGCGGGCCCTTCATGAAACCTTAATGTTCTTCTCACCTGCTTATTTGAAAAGAAAGGATGACCCAGAGTCCAGTTGCCATCTGTCCTCAGTCCTGAAAGGAATAGTTACTAGTGACCCTAAGTAGCACACTCTTTTCTGTCATGGGTGGGAAGGTAGAGGATCCTCAGGGAGGTAAGGTCTTGGTCTAAGGGATAGAAGTCAACTATCCTATGTTGGGTGCTAGGAGAAAAGGCAGGCCTTGGCAGGAGTAAAGATGAGTAACTTACAGGAAGAATTAGAACTCCACCCCAGGATAGAGGGACCAGTCCCTGCTGCCAGCCTTTTTTGACCTTGGAGCTCTTTTCTCGGGCTCTCAGGAAGGGTGGACTTTGGTCTGAGATGATAACTCAAGTCAACTGAGAAAGCACATCTGCTAACAGCAGAGTCCCAGGTCCTGCTAAGAGTCAAAGTGAGTGCCCCCAAAGGAAGAGTGAGTGTAGTCCAACCCTGAGAACAAAGAAGGGATTCCAAGGAAATCTGGCCAGTCCCTATTGTCAGCCCTGAAAAGCCCAGGCAGGGCTGTCAGGCTGAGCCCTTCCTCATTTCCAGATTGGTAGTCTCAGGGACCAGAGGGTCTTGGTCTGAGGGTCTGAAGTCAGGGCAGCTGAAGTAGAGGTCCTGGTGAGGACCCAGATGTCATCCCATCCCAGAACCACTGGGAGTATAAGGGCCAGATGTAGGTCCCCTCACTTTCTTATATTCAGTCTCAAGGATGTGTGGTCTTATTCTGAGAGTTTTGCCTCAGGCCAACAGAAGGGTGGGGCCCAAGCCCAGTCAAAGGAAAGTGAGGGCTCTGAGTGACCAGAAAGGGGACTATCCACCCCAGAACAGAGTAAACAGTCCCTAACACCACACCACTGTCAAACTCAGTACCTTGGGTTGTGCCAGCTTCACCCTGAGAGCTGTCTCACTTTTCTCCTTCAAGTTCTTTCACATTTGAAAGAAAAATCACAAGAAAATGTCATTCTAATGCCATTTTATCTAATTCAGAATCACAAAATACGCTGAAACGTGTTCCATTTTGTATTACACAATGGCAAAACTCTTACTTTTGAACTGGATAGTACAAATACATGTATGGTCAATGTCATTCACAAACTGAAGTACATAAAACCTTCTATGAAAAGGAACATTCATTTGAAAAATTCTACAGAAAACAAGGAAAAATTTCTAAATCATCACAGGAACCCAAAGATGCTACAGTACTTATTCCCCCCAAATAGCCCTGGGCCTTACTACCTAGAATGTTGACTTCCCTCTTCTCAACACAGAGTAAAGAATTGGCCTCACATCATGTCTAGCATGAGAAGCTGCCAGACAGGGGCCTGAAAGGTTACTGGGTGCAAGTTGGCTCAAACCTCCTCTTCCTCATTACTCATAGACTCTTCAGACAGGTATAAGACAGAACTGAGATTCCTTCTATAATCCCTCTGAAAAGTCTCTCGGACTTTCAACCTGGTAGTCTCAGCATAAGCTCTGGGGCCCCAGAGAAACTGGTACCGTGCAGGATCACTGTTGGGCACCTGCTGGTACTCCAGGTACTGTTCCTGCACCCAAACTTTGGTGATGAGCTCCCTGGGCTCCCCATAGATCCAATGCTCCCTCCCGTCACGCACACCCATGACATTCAGTGCTTCCCAGATTATCTCCTCAGGGGCACAGTCGCCCTCTGCAAGGATCAATCTCAGGAGCATGACCAAGAGGCCAGTGTTGGGCATGGACTTCCCATCTGACACCATCCCATCATATGTGAGCCCCAGAGTGGTAACCAGGACATAGGTTTGGGTGCTAGGGTTCACTTCCTTCACATCAATACCAAAGAGGAGCTGCATAAACTCAGAGGCTAGGCTAAAGATCTCAGGGAAGTGATCCTGATGCTCTTTGATGACCCTACTCAGCATTTCTGCCTTAGTAGTTGGCTGCTTTGTATGATACTTCAGGAGTAGAAACTCCACCAAGTCACTCATCTTCATATATAGGACATCGCGGAGTGATGACTCAGAATCTTCAGAGTCCTCTCTGCTGCTTGCCTCCTGTTCATTTTGGTCGCTGAAGCCCTCGTCTTCAGATTGGCTCCATGCAGGGGCCGCCATGGCAGGAGCACAGAGTCAGGAATTGGAGGGCTCTGGGAAGACTTGGTGTCTTAGCAGCACACACCTGCTCTAAGTTGTGTAGGAACAAGGCAGAGAGGGACAAAGATAAAGAGGCAGACACAATCAAGTCCTCCTCATCCCCAAATAGCTGCATCTGTGACAGGTTTTGGATACGTGAGTATCCTCAGCTGAAAAACATACCCTTGGCAGCTCTGAGAATGAAGAATTTTAGAGCTACTCTATAAGAATGCTCTCAGGTCTCAGGGGTCTCACCTGCTGGGCAGCCTGTCCCCTAATTTCCTGAAGGTGGAAATAAAAAACTGGCACAGCCAGAGATTCTGGGTCTGATAGTGGGGTAGTGTGGGGTAGGGTGCTATGAAATATCTTCCTTTCTTGGGGGGGGGGATCCTTCTGTGCCCACTCAGGGTCTGCTTCCCCCACCCCATGCCCCACTGAGACCAAACTCCTGCAATAAGAACACGCATCCTTAAGTGAATGGTTCCCATATTTTGTAGCACCTGTCCAGGGGCTTATAGTAGTCATCAAAGGACAACAATGTGTGGTCATAATCTATGGGTTCCACGTGTCTTAGTGTGAAGGGTCTCCTCATTCCTCACCATGACCCATGCCAAGACCTGGGTTCCTTCCTCAGCTCGCCTGAGTCCAGGCCATTAGACCAAGGATGTGTCCTCCCTGGGTCCTTGGATCTGAAAATGGGGAGGGGCTCAACCTGATAGCCATGCCAAGGGTTTTCAGAGCTGACAATAGGATCAGGCCAGATTTCTTTAGGGTCCCCCCACTTGGTTCTGGAGATTGGGCTACACTCCCTCCACCATTAGGGACCTCACCTTGACTCTTAGCAGGACGTAGGACTCTGCTCTCAGTTGAACATGAGTATTTCCTCAAATGACCTGATGTCGTCCTCTCAGACCAAGGTCCTCACCTCCCTAAGAGACTGCAAGGCAAAGTGATGCAGCTTCATATCTGTGTCCCAAATCACCCATACCCCTGCCAACATCACAAAAGGCTGGCAGCAGAGACAAGGTTCTCTGTCCTGGCTGGGTTCCCCAGTGCCCCAGTAGGCGATTCACTTTTACTCCTGCCATTAACTGCCCCTTCTCCCAGAGTTCCCACCTGGAACACTTGATCTCTCCCATCAAGACCTCACCTCCTCGATGATTCCCCACTTTCCTGCCCATGATAGAAAGAAGCTTATCAATTAGGGCCAATGTTATTCTTTCAGGTCTGAGAACAGGGCTACCTGGACTTTGTGTCATCCTTTCTTTTCTGTGAAGACAGTGCACATTTGGGTTTCACAAAGGGTTAGCACATTATCACCTGGGAGATCATGAGACACTTCCCTCCCTTGACCTCACATTTCTCTCAGACCCAGGTCCTCACATACCCAAGATCCCTCATCCCAAACACTGTGGCAGTAGTAAGAGGTTGCCACATCCAGACATCCCTGACAAGGTCCTCCTGGATATGAGAACATAGCAAGCTGGACACTTTGTGATAACTTCTCTTTTATGGTCAGTGAGCCTTCATACCTTCCACCCTCCCTGGTGGTCCTTTTCTAGAGCTATGGCAGATACTGGGAATCCTTTCTCTACTGACCAGATGTGGCCACCTCTACTGATTTGAAGTTGATGCTCACAAAAAGGACTCATTTCCCTCAATACTGAGGGTGCATCACCTGTGGGATTTTAGGGATGAAAAGGATGTCAGGGGCAGACTTTATTGAGCCCCCTCTGTCTGTTATGGGAATTCCCTCAATGAACTTAAGGTATAAAATATTACTCCTGGCAGAGCCTAGATCTATCCCTTTCCCTAACCAGAGAATGCATCCTGAAGGCCAAGGCCACCCTGCTGACCTGAAGCTACACTCATTAATCCAAGGCTTATACCTCCAGAGGACACCCACACTGCCCAGGCAGAGGACAGGAAATATCCAAGTTCAGACACTTGGATCCATCTCTGCTTTGAGGTCCTGGATAATCAGTCCTTCCTCAGGATCTTCACCTTGACATTCTGTAGAACTTGGCACACTCTAGCCCACCGAACAGCTGCTCCTTATATACATTTCTCAGTCTCTCCCTGACCAGAATGTGAAAGTCAGTAGATTCCTCTTGTGATTAATACCTCCAAAGGTCTTACATCAGTCCACCAAATCATGGGATTCTCAGGGCTCCTGGCAGGGGGCTGAAATGATTCCATTGGATGTTTAGTCCTCCCTCTCCTCCTTACCTTGCTTCCAGGCAAAGTCTGGGCCCATCCCCCTGCAAACCTCCAGTTACTCCTTTCTGATTTTATCCTTGACTCCCAAGTTATATAAGTAGGTGGAGGCTGGTGGTTTCCAGGAAATATTACTCAGCCAGACAACCTGGCCGCCTGGATTCATGTTGTGGACAGCTGAGGCAAAACTAGATTCTGTGAGGGGCCCCCAATACTCCATCAGGGTCTTCAGGACTAGGCTCTTCCATCTATGGACCTGTAGTCAGCTTTCAGACTTGGTCCTCACCTCTCTTGACTTCCTGGGCTTAAGTCACTGAACATTATACCTGGAAAGCATTTGTAGCACCTACCATGGCTAAGAGCAAGAATGAGCATTTGGGAAGCTCTATGTTGGGATGGGAGTTCCTGGGTGTCCTCAGTCCTCTCTCCTGGTCCTCATCTTGACTCTGGCAGGCACTGGGTCCTTCCTCTGCATACCTGAGCCCCTGTTCTTTACACTGAAACCCACAGTCTCACTGACCCGGACGTGAAGCCATGAAATGCCACTTGGCTCTGGGCAGCAACTCTGCCCTCCCCTCTGTGGACCTGCACTTTTATCAAGTTCTAAGCCTAGCTCAAACCTGCTGCAGAAGTCAGGGGACACCGCACATGGTCATTCCTCCTGGAGCATCCCATGGCTGGTAGAAGGGGAGGACTTTTATGGGGTCCCCTACATTGTGGGGACCAGGGTCACCTCATTGCTCCCTCAACCAACCTGTGGCTCTGCTTCTGACAGTGAACCCCTGAGTCTCTCAGACCTGGATGAAGAAGTTACCCCACCCTCTAGTCACGCCACCCTCTCTTCCTCCTAGAACTGAGTATTCTCAGGTACAGGGACGCCTACTTCTCCCTCAGGGTCCTCAACTTGACAGAAGCAGGACCTGGGGTGCCCCTTCTTTTGCCTGAAGCCTCGAAGTTGTATCAAACCCCCGTGTTTCTCAGTCCGAATGCAGAACTAACAAAGGACAATGTGTGAAGTCACCCTTCTCCCACTCTGGGAGGCCTGCTAGATGGACACTGTTCTGGGGTCCAGGGCCCCCAATCTCCATCAGTGTCCTCAAGTCTTCATCAGCAGGACCTGGGGTGCCCCCTCTTCTGCCTGAAGCCCTATTCCTCCTACCAAACCCCCAGTGTCTCTCAGAACGAATGCAGAACTCACAAAGCACAATGTGTGATGTCACACTCCACCACCTGGGAGGCCTGCCCATGGACACTGTTCTGGGGTCCAGGGCCCCCAATCTCCCCCGGGGTCCCCACACTGACTCCAGGCTGGTCCCGGACACCTTCGGCCGACCTGACACTCCGCCATGACACGGAGCCCCCGAGTGTCTCCACCCGGAAGAGGCGGAGGTCAGTCCTCGCCGCTGGTGGTCCCGCTTGGGGCTCCCGGGACTGACAGCTCTGGGGCCCGGAGTCACCTTGTCTCCCCCCAGGGACCAGGGACGGATGGCCGTCACCATGGGGCCTGCAGGCCCTGGCCCTCCCTCTGTGAACCGGAGCCCGGACCCCCACACGGAGCCCTCAACCCTGACACCCGAAGGGCGGTCCGTGGGCCTCAGTGCCCAGGGCTCCCGGCAGGGGCTGAACTAGACCCCGGGGCCCTCAGTGGGGTCCTCACCGGGCTCCAGAGCAGTCAGTCCCGGGAGCCCCAAGGTGCGGGGTGGCCACCAGCTTCGAAGGCCCCGCCTACCTGAGAGCGCTCCCCTCAGCTTGTCCCCTCCGCCGGCCCGAAGCCGGCTTCTCAAGATGGCGCTCGGCTCCCTGGATTCGCTGGTGGACGTCACCATGAGGCCTGCAGGTCCCGGCCCTCCCTCTGTGAACCAGAGCCCGGACCCCCACACGGAGCCCTCAACCCCGACACCCGAAGGGCGATCCGTGGGCCTCAGTGCCCAGGGCTCCCGGCAGGTGCTGAACTAGTCCCCAGGGCCCTCCATGGGGTCCTCACCCAGGTTCCAGGCAGAGTCTGTTCCCGGCCATGCCGACCTGAGACCGCTCCCCTCAGCTTGTCCCCTCCGCCGGCCCGAAGCCGGCTTCTCAAGATGGCGCTCAGCTCCCTGGGTTCTCAGGTGGATGTCACAATGAGGCCTGCAGGCCCTGGCCCTCCCTCTCTGAACCAGAGCCCGGACCCACACACAGAGGCCTCAACCCCGACACCAGAAGGGCGGTCCGTGGGCCTCAGTGTCCAGGGCTCCCGGCAGGGGCTGAACTGGACCCTGGGGCCCTCTGTGGGGTCCTCACCCGGCTCCAGGCAGAGTCTGGGCCTCGCCGACCTGAGACCACTCGCCTCACCGCTTGTCCTTGAGACCCCCCCGCCACCCCCATTCTCTGAGGAGGCAGGCGAGAGGTGAGGAAATCCTTCTCAGACACCACCACCACCACCACCCCGGGGTCTCCCTGGGTCCCGGGGCCTCAGTCGTCCCTCAGGGTCATACCTGGGCTCCTCCCCTCTAGCGACCCGAAGCCGGCTTCCCAGACATGGCGCTCGCTCTCCTCGCTCAGCCCTCCGAGGCGGAAGTCAGGGGGCAGACTTCCGGAAGGGCTTTCTGGGGTCCCCCGGGCTGAGGACAGGGGCAGAGATCGGGTCTAGAGGCCTGGGAGTGGTGACTCTGTTCCCCTCCGGCATCTGACAACACCAGGGGCCCTGGCCTCTGCGGACCCGAGTCTGTGTCCCTCAGACCTTGCTCGACTCCCCCAGATTCCCAGGCACGTGGAGGCATGTGCTCAGC